TTTGGCACTGGGCTACAAGGAGTCCGTTTTAAGGAATAAGGAGCCACTTTCATTCCAACCCCTAACCTGGAGGACCAGGAGGCTGAGTTTGTCTGGCCTCTAACCATTGACCAATCTGGTATGAGTGAATCTGAAGCCCAATGGATCACTGAGGCACACAAACCATCGCACCACGGTCAGGTCCAGCGTCATTACGATAGGTGCCAGCTGTACGCCGTAACGGCGCTTCGTTGCCGCGCGACCACCACCAGTCGCGCGCGGGCTGAGTATACCGCGAGGACGCCCACCCCTACGCGGATTCGAACCGGTGACCTTATGGTTGCAAAGCAAACGTGTAGACCACTCGGCCACCGGCCAGCTTCGAAGTGAGGGCGTTCATTCCTCTCGACCAAGTCATCGCTTGGCCACCCTCCTCTTCTTTCATCCACACCCCAGGCGCGCAAACAACGCACGTCGCGCGATTCCTGCAGACCCTCGTCGCTTCGTTCGCGAGCTAAAGGGTCGCAATAGAACCGAGCACGTTGAAAGATCCATAGTTCGTGAACTGAAAAAGCTACTGAAGGCTGGATTGGTTGATGCGAAAACCATGACACAACTGCGCCCATGTGGTTTGTCGAAGACACATAAGGAGGGCATTCCTATGCGTCCAATCGTAGCAATGGTAAACGCGCCATATCATAAGCTGGCATGTTGGCTAACCGAGTTGAGAGAACCTATCCGATGTGAGCTAGCCGGGTTTACTCTCACAGATACGTTTGAGTTTGTTGACAAAATACGGGGTCTAAACGAAAATGGGAAATACATAGTCTCTTATGATGTATGCTCACTTTTCACCAACGTCGCATAAGAAGAAACATTAGACATTCTCGGTGCTCATGCTGACAAAGTCGGGTTCCCAGCAGAGCACCTCAAGTCTTTAATGTGTTAGTGCACCAAGGACATACAGCTCTAATTCAACGAACAGTATACCGTCAGATCGATGGCGTAGCCATGAGCAGTCCACTTGTGCCAGTCCTGGCTGATTTTTTTCATGGGCCACTTGAAGCACACGAAACTACGTCCTTACATACAAAAGGTGAACCTGTACAGTAGATATCTTGACGACACGTTCGCTATGTTTGATAACGCTCAGCAGGCAGAGCGTTTACTTGAAATACTAAATAAATGCCACCCTGCGATGAAATTCACAATGGAAAGCGAAGTGGACAACACCTTCCACTTCCTGGATGTACACCTGAAGAGGAATGCAGAAGGCACACTCACTCGAGCTGTGTGTCGAAAGCCCACTTGGACAGCCCAATATTTGAACTTCAACAGTTTCTGTCCTATAGATTACAAACGAGCATTGGTTTGCTCTGCCTTCGCAAGTGCTCGCAAAATCTGTTCTGAAGATACCATCGAGAGCGAACTAAAACGCGTCATCAACACTACAGGAGAATGGATACCTCGCTAGATTCATAGCTCGGTATGCGAGCGAAGTGTGCCCAAGAAAAAAGTGTATTACGCTGGGGTTTCAAGGGGATCAAAACGATAGAAGATTCCGGCACCGCCTCCGTCAGGCAGTGGGGAAATGTCATTTCGGGACTGAACTGGCGTTATCGCACCAAGTTAGGAAGTTGCCAGGTAAATCCAACCTGGACAAGCCCCACCATCATGTAACCGCCTCTTGTGGTTAGCTATTTCACTATACTTGTGGTAGCAAGTACCTTGGCCTGACTGAGGCTACCCACTAGGATTTCAGAGCCCATTGCAAGAAACATGGTCGCTAACGGTCCAAAACTGCCGGCCAGCTCTATTGCACAAAACGTCCTGGATTGCACTACGTGCTAACGTCCTCGTGCTTTGTTTAAAGTAAATAAGCCACAGAGCAATGCCCGATTGCTTTAGTTTGCCGAAGCCTCAACTATTTGGCAGCTTCAGCCCAATTTATGCAAGCAGACTGAACTTACCGCCAGGCTCGCCTTACCTTGGTGAGGTAAGTGATTGTTTTTCTCTGAACTGAATGACCTTGTATATTGCATCCCTTTTGGACGCGACGTGATAATTTCACGAATGCGTGTAAACAGTTGACGAGAACAATCAAAATACTTGAATTCAGCGTAACCCGTTAAAATGTTCTTTTTTCGTTCTATGTTAAAATTTGTGAAAGGAAAATCCGGCATGAAATCAACGGAGTGTATTCTATGGAACAGAATGGTACTACGAATAGGTCAACTAAACTCCTAATTAAGGGGCCTCGAACACCTCAGCTACTGTGCCGCACCACCAACGGTCAGCGTAGGAGGCGGTCCAGACCAATCTTGGAGGAACGCTTTACACTTCGAGGGTGAGAAGCAAAGTTCGAAGTGACGGACAGCTAGTGCTAATCTGTCCAGTGCCACCTGGCACGTTTGTGAGCTGTCACAGACTAGGGCAATATCATCAGCATACTCTAAGTCAAGAAGTCGTTCTCCTGGGAGCAGACTAACACCTTCTAAGTTGTGTCCTGTGAACGCGATTTCCATGTCTTCATCAATAGCGACGTTGAAGAGGAAAAGTGACAGCGGGCATCCTTGTCCCAGACTGCTGGAGATATTAAAGGGCGACAACAGCTTGCCGTAAGCCCTCACACTGCCCAAACTACGCGCATATAATGCTCGGATAATATTCACATATTTCTCAGGTATACTTTTCCTGAGTAGACAGTCCAAAAGTGAAAGTCTATCCACCAAATCGAATGCACCTTTGATATCGAGGAACACGACCACGGTGGGTCGCCAATATATGTGACGGTGCTCCAGCAACTTGCGCAAGGTGAAAATGTGGTCAATACAGCCACGACCTCGACGAAACCCGACTTGCTCTTCACGAATCTGGCTTTCACGAGTGAGAGTCAGTCTGTGAAGGATGACAGAGGAAAGGAATTTGGAGGTGATGGAGATCAGACTGGTTCCCCTGTGGTTGCCGTATTCCGATAGTGAGCCTCCCTTGAAAATTGGGACTAGACGGAGAGCTTCCAGTCCATTGGAGCAATTTGATGCTTTGCAGCATCCGTGGCGGATAGCAACGGTGCTGTTGCACGAAAGACTTGCGGGAATTTGCTCAGAATCATCTGAACGATAGGTGAGCTCGATTAGTTGGCGTATTCAGGACTGAGTGACTTAGTCGGTTAAAGTATCTACAGCTACCAGAGTTGTTTGGCGATCGACCAGACGGCGTTGCTTCGCGCCAACTAGCAAGTCGAAGTGCTGCAGAAAGTCAAGGCCAAAAATTGTCGTCTGGATATCTGAAACGAGGAAAATCGATTTAGAGCATCGTAGGCTTATAGTAAGCGGACAGGAGCGTTGACCGTACATGAGAATGGTCGTTCCGTCGGCTGCGCGCAGTGAACTAATCGCCTCATTCGGGTCTTCCTTATCGCGAGGAAGTTCGCTAACTTCGGCACCACTCGGCCACCGGCCGAGTGGTCTGCACGTTTGCTTTGCAACCATAAGGTCACCGGTTCGAATCCGCGTAGGGCTGGGCGTCCTCGCGGTATACTCAGCCCGCGCGCGACTGGTGGTGGCTGCGCGGCAGCGAAGCGCCGTTACGGCGTACAGCTGGCACATTATTATTATTATTATTATTGAGTAATGGACTCATATCTCTCGATCAGTGACGACGAAAAGGCGACTGTGACAACTAGCAACTTTCGTCGCTCATACGTGCTGGCCGGCCCGTTTCCTAGCGTGTTGCGTTTGAAGGAACAGGGCGGGCGACACGATCTGGCCTGACGACGAAATCGTTCGTGGTACCAGCAATAGGTTGACCTAGGCGGAGGTTTCGAACGTGATCTGAAACGAGTGTAACTGTTGGAAAGACTTCGGCGGTTGGATCCGGACTGTGTTAGGTTCTCGGGTCGAATGATAATTGCCGCTACTTGCGCACTTAGTTCTGCTACCTCCGTACTCGAAGTAGACTGAACCTGAGGAATTTGGGTGTTGGATTCCCAAATACGGTCGGCAATGTCGGCGAGCTAGGAAACAAACGCAATTGCATACAGGGTGTTACGTATGTAACGTGGCAGGCGACGAAGTCACATATACTTAAGAAAGGAATCGCCAAGGGAGAGGCTTAGCTTGAGTCTGCATTTTGTGCAGAGGCTCAGAAGGCTTTCAATCGCCTAGTTCGGTTTCGTTAAATACCTGCGTAGTGCGACCGTGGTCTGACATGCCGAATCGCTTGATGACGACGGCGGCCTCAAGCTCTTCGTAAGTCTCCTGATATTCAGGAAGCTCTAAAATGTCGTCTAGATCATCGACAACTAGCGTAGGAAGCGCCCCGACAACGCAGTGAAATTTGATACTATCAAACCTAATGCTAGGTACCGAAAAATGGATTCCAGCTGAGTAAAACAGGACAGGATTAGTATCTCCGAAAGGCGGGATAGAGAGACTAAAGCCATGAAGCTAGCTGAATGGCCTTTATCGTGAAAAATACGGAACCAGTGAAATCGAACCCAATAAAAAGTAGGAAGAGACGGTGTTACCGGACCTGAAAAGAAAAATTAGCGACAAACCCACCAAATTTTCTTTGCAGGGTTACCAATTATAGCGCGTCAATTTTGCGCTATATATCTGAGACGATGCTAGAGGACCAACCAGACAATCGGCAAAGCATATAAAAATTAAGCTAGGAAACAGAATTATTGAACGGGAGAAAAATTGTAATTTTAGAGGAATTTGCAGTCATACAGGTCACTACAGTGGCTTTGAGTTTTCGAAAAACGTGGTTACTGAATATGTAATGGAAAAAGTAAACGCCAAAGGCTCAACCACATAAAAGTACTCGATGACATAAGAATGTTAGACCTGACTTTCGGCAAAGCAAGATCCTCGGTAGGCCGTCAATTTTTCGCACAATCAAGCTCGGAAGACGAGACTTTAGTCAGTACGATAATGGAGCGCGGTAGATCCGATGATCGAGGCAAGCAGAACGACAATCGACAGCACAACTCGCGTAGTCGAAACCAGAAGGCGGATGGAAATTCGAAGTGTTTATCAGATTTTAGTCAGTTAAAACTAGCTGTACAATAAACAATGCAAACTGGAATGGGAAAGTGCAGTCGGAAAGATAGAACTGTACAATGGCTACAACACTGAAGGGAAGGTGAATCAGTGTGTTATGAGTTACTCAAAAGAAGCTTTGCAAACAGGCTTTACCACGGATGCGGATATGACAGTAATCTTTGGTTTGACTATAAATGAGATGTGAGAAAACGCACAAACATACCGCGTGAACTGCTTGTATTGTCTGACAAGGATCCATAGCTGCAGCAGGGCACCGCCGCAAAACCATTAGTGATATCTGCGCGGAGGTTAACCACAAATGAAAAAGACCTACCATCATATGCGGGGGAAGTTAATGGGGTCGATGATATCGTTATATTCGCAGATGGCCGGTTTGTACCGTGCGCTGCATCTACGCAAACGTGTGGAGATCGCAGAGACATTTCAACCTGCTGGTTACGAGCACAGCCCAGGGGCGGTTTGGTTTGCCCACCATCCTGTTCCATGGTCTGATTTGCCTGCCGCATATTAACTGGCTATAAGATCTATAAAACCATTCCTACATGACACGGGGGAGCGTAATCTCCGACGGAGATTGCGGACATGATCGCTGGTGACGCGCTTTCCGAATGCATTTTCGATATATAGAATGACATCCCTGGTTGGTGTATTGTATCTAAACAAGTCAGCAGATTGGTTGAATTCGTCTTCTGTAAGGCGCCGGTTCAATGGATGTCTTTCGTAAAGGAACCGATTGCATGGATGGTTGTGGGCCAGATGGAATGATAACACTTTTAGCTTACGACCAACCCGAGCGACATTGACGCGTGCGCTGCAGTTGGTGCCTCGAGAACTGAAGCCATATGATGGACAGAATAAGAAAACATACAAGACACGTCGAATTCCTTGGCTTCGGGAATGGCGGGGTTTATGGCGCACGCACTTGTATAAGATGCGATCGTACTTCACCTTAGAAACGTTGCATTTTTTGCTACTAAAGCAGACAAAATTAACGTTGTTACGATGCATAAAAGCCGTAAAATGTGAATAGAAAGAATCAAAGCTGTCGAATAACCGACCGACAAAGTTATTCCTGAAATCGGTCTCCATAAGAACATCAGCCTCGTCGGTGTGAAATGCCATGAATGCGGTTGAGGTCGGACAAGTTCAAGCGGGACTGGAACGATAGGATTATCCCGTGAGTGTTCCTTCTTCGGCGGGTCGTTGAACCAGCAGTTAGCAAACTTTGAAATACTGATGGACCTAAAACAAAGACCGCATCACACCCTGTCCTGACGGTGGGCTAGAACTGGTGTTTGGGTTTAAGATTATATCCTCGTTACGCTACAGTGCTAATTTAGAATCCACAATATGTACTGATATTGAAGATGAATATGAATCCACAATTATGGTTACTGATAAGGCACTATTAACGTTAGTTCCTCACGCTTGCACTGTTAAATATCGATCGTCAAATTTCTAACACGTAATATGATGGCTGTATAGCGGCTTACCGCAAAATTTTGTAGAAATGCGCGCCATGAATAATAACAAAGTCGCAGCATCTTTGTGGCATTCAATAGTATATGTGAAAGAGTCACCGAATTTAAGTTCCCGCCCCACGTGAGCCTGGCGGATCTTGCTTCTATATCGCATTTCGAAACCACCGCCAAACACATTTCTGTCAGCTTAAACTCACTAAAACAAGTAACATGCTGCCATATACGATTTTGGATAGCTTTCGCACCATAAAGCGTATAGGCAGATGCCGGATTTTAGCTATTTATGCTGGCCATCTTTCACGTGTATTATTCACTTCCACGCTGCATCGTAGCAGCAGACCTAACAGGGTACTTTATAGATAGCGACGTTTGCTGATTGGTTGGGCTGAAGTGAAGCAAGTGCCTTCTAGACTGTCATTATAGGCTGGTGTACGTTTAAAACGGTGTTTTACAGTGCTAAATACTCTCAACCGCTTGCCCCTGATTCAAATGTACGTAAATAAGGTTAACGCAGTGCTGCCTATTTGGTAAATTACTATAAAATAGCAACTGCTATATGTATAAGATTGCATAGTGCGCGCAATGTAATGGTAAAATCAAAATATAAGTAGCCTGATTTCATGGATTTTGTGTGTAGGGACCAGGACTCTCACATCTTGCGGGAACAGGTTTGGGGGCCAAGATCAACCGGCACAGCCGGGAGTATAATGGTAGCGTAGGATACTGATATGTATTTAACTAATTTGTAAATGCTGTAAATAAACCAGTAGCTGATGTATAAAGGAATCGGGTCAATTTCACCACCAGCGAACGCCGTGTGTTTTCGTTCTGACAAAAGTTGATTTTCTCCGTTTTCTTATGATTCAGATGGGCTTGGAGGTGCGCAATATACTCGGAATCTTCTGCTGGTCTATCGAGCATCATGGTGTCCAAGGGTCTGGATTGTGGTAAAAGTGTCACTACCCGCTCAAATGCCGTTCAATGTTCTTTCTGCGACGGCTGGTTGCATATCACCTGTTGTGGTATCTCACCAAATTTTTTTATGAGTGTCTTATGATGTATACAGCATCCACTGTTGGTATCTTTTTTGACTCTTGTCTTACTTAGTCAACCCCCAGCAGGCTCAGTCTGGGTTACCTGCTTTTACCCTCCGCTCTACTAGTGTTCACTCCTGTCCCCAACCGACTGTTTCCCAAATTTCGCCTTCTTCTTTCCCTACTTTGTGCCCTGATTTTGTCACGCCAGTTTTTAGACAAATTACTGCCTTGGCTTTAGAGCCACACATTTCTAGTGACCAGCCTAGTAAGCCCCTGCCCAAGACGTTTGCGACCGTCGTCAAGGAGAACACGGTGGCTGCTCCCGCAAGCCGGATTCTCGTGGTACATAAATATAAGCCTATTGCCAAGTCTGTGGAAGACAAAGCGTCACCTCCAAAGCGCGGGCTGATATGGGTTCTTCATAAAGTCGACCATTTGGAGAAACTGCTCCATGACAACCCGCCTTCTAAGCCACGGATCCCCGAGACCTCCACAGTCCCTAACCGGGAAGGTTGTCTCATCATAATGAACTCTTCGGAGTCGGATAAGACAACAGCAGCAGAGAGAATTTTGGATGACCAATTGTTTCTAAAACTTGTGGTCTCCCTTCTGTTCGATGAGGGGGAACCGAGGATTAAGATCGTCTCTGCTTTTCGACTTGGCAGAAAACACGAAGATTCTTCCAAGATGCGTCCCCTTAAGGTTGTATGCCAAAGTGAAGATGAATGCCGTCGGATCCTTTGACGAACTTCGCGCCTCAAGGGGGAGCCCTTTCACGTGTTACTGGATCTATCCCCGGAAGACCGCGTTAAAATGAAGATCGCAGTCGATGAATTGAGAACTCGCCGTGCGAACAGTGAAACCGATTTGCGTATTGAGGATTTTCGCGTGGTTCGGAAGGTGTAGAGAACGCGCTGGAAGCCAGTTCTTGTCTTTCCCGGACATTAAGATCAACAACTGGAGTGCACGTACTTTTTGCGAACGTGGGCAGTCCGCGTAACAAACTAGACGCATTTGTGTGCCTTGCGTCCGTACTTCTCCATGACCTTATGGCGTTTACGGAGACAAGGTTGTCCCCAGAATTCCCAGATTCCGAAGCACATATTCCTGGTTACAGGCTCTCACGAGCTGATCGCATTGGTTTGAGATCGGGGGCGGTGTCCTACTCTACTGGAAGGAAAACCTGAAGGTCCATGTAGTTGATGTTGTCTTTGGAAGTGATGACTGCTCCGAAGTGCTTTGGTTTCGTATTCAAGATGGATGTAGATCTATCCCTCTCGGTGTCTTCTACAGAGCTTCCCTGAGTTCTGGCGGTCGTTTACTGGCTCCCTAAAGAAGCATGGTTGAAGTAAGGATTGTTTATTAGTGGGGGACTTTAATGCCTTTAACGTTGATTGGGATCTTCTTCACTGTGATGCTGCACCTGCCTCCTTCGATTCTACGTTTCTGGAAGCTGTGCTTGAAAGCAAGTTAATCCAACATGTCGCGGCAATTACTCGCATTATCCCTGGTCAGACGCCGCACATACTCGATCTTGTGCCTTCGCCTGCACCATCGGAGGTTTCTGATTTGAATGTTTTAACACCAATCGGGAGGGGTGACCACTGCCTACTTTCTTTTCAATGGACCATATGGTTGAGGATTCACAACCACTGTGACTATCGGCGGAATTTCTGGAGTGCTGATCCAAACCGCTTGAAGAAGGCCGCTAGCGAGCAGGATTGGATTCTCCCTCAGCACTTGGACGTCGATAATGCTTGGAGCCTTGTTTACTCGAAAAGGTTGCCCCTTATTGATTGTGTTGTTCCCATATCCAAACGAAAACCATTTACTAGAGGTCCCCCTGGATTGACCGAGAACTACGATCGCTCATGAACCAAAGACACAAAGTTTGGAATCGCTATAGGCTTTCGAGGTTGAAAACCGATTATAGAAATTATAAATTAGTCCGGAACATACGTACGTCGAAAAAACGTACGAAACGGCAGTAATACGAAGGTCATCTGGCTGATCATTCCAAGTCTATACCGAAGCCACTTTTCTCCTACTTGAAAAGGAGCACCAGAGCCGGAAGTGGAATACCGTCTTTACATTCCCATGATCTTAATACCGTGCTCCACGACGATGCAGATAAAGCTAATCTTGTAGCTCGCCATTATTCATCGGTCTGTACAACGGAGGTGCCGTCAGTTGATTGCTATTCATCCTTGCACTCCGCTCTCAGCGATATGGACATAAAGGTTACTGTGGTATACAAACTTTTGTGCGAGTTGGATCCCAACTCTTCCTCCAGACCCGATGGATTGCCTCCTCTTTTCCTCAAGATTTTGGCCGAATATATCGCTGTTCCTATCTGCCACGTATTTCGGTGCTCACATGAGGCCGGGCGTCTTCCGCTTGCCTGAAAAGCGGGCATAGTGAAGCCCATATACAAAGGAGGAAATCGGCAAGATTCTACGAATTATCGGCCCAGTTGTCTAACATCTGTCGTCTGTAAGGTTATGAAGAGGATTCTTAAGCGAGCTCTCAACCTGCACTTCCAGAACCCCAAGATCATTTCAGCTGCGCAGCATGGGCTTTGTCTTTCGCGTTCATGTGTAACCAATCTTCTGGTAGCACGAGAAAAGTGGGTTAAGTCCATGAATGCTGTTAAGCGACTGGATGTCGTATTTGTGAATTTTTATAAAGATTTTGACAAGGTTCCACACTAAATTTGGCTTAGCAAACTTCGCAGTATTGGTGTTTCAGGAAAACTCCTCTCTTGGCTCACTGATTTCCTGCATGACCGCGCTTTCCGTGTGCAAGGAAATGAGGCCCTTTCCTTTCCCGTAAATATGACCAGCGGTGTCCCGCAAGGATCTGTTCTTGGCCCTGAACTTTTTAAAGTCTTTATTAATGATCTGGCATCTGTACTACGGGCAGATTGTTTGATTTACGCATATGATTTAAAGATATGGATGGAAGTTTCCTGTCTAGATGAAGCGGATTTACTACAAACAAGGCTCTATTCGCTGGATGACTGGTCGATCAGGTGTCAATTACTCATAAATCACGATAAATGTCCCGTTCTTCCGATCGGTGCTTCCGAACCATCTGGAATTTATCATATCGGTGGGTTTTTGCTGCCGAACTCCAATCGTGAGAGGGACCTCGGCGTCGTTGTGAACCCAGACGTAATATCGACCGAAGATACCTTGAGGAAAGTCGCTTCCACCAACAGGTTGTTTTTTGCCATACGACGATCCTTCTCTCGCTTGACTCCGGAGACTTTCAGGCTCCTGTTCACTTCTCAGGTACGTCCGATTCTTGAGTATGGACCGCCCGCTGTTAATCCTCTTTCCAAATTTAAAAGCAACTTGATTGAAAAAAGTTCAGCGGAGCGGATCTGCATCCGTCCTTGAGTTACGAAACCTGCCTTACTCGCATCGTCTCCAGTGCCTGAACGTTTTCTCCCTAGCCTACCGTCGAGATCGTGGGGATTTGATTTTCACACGGCGTATCGTTAGAGGGGAACTTGGAGTTGAATTGCAGAATTGCTTTCCACTCCATTCTTTCAGTTCGGCTCGAGGTCACCATTGGAAATTGTTTAA